GGCACCACTAACCCCGAATCGTGGCTTACCGTCTACGGTCTCGCAATCCGCGCAGCAGGAGGAGACAACAAGGCCATGGCGAATTATCTACCAGTGGCTTTAGCGGATTCCGCCCGATCTTGGCTCCATGGATTGCCCCGTGGTACAATTGGATCTTGGGCCGAACTACGCGACCACTTCATCGCCAACTTCCAAGGCACCTTCGAGCGTCCCGGCACACAATATGATCTTTACAACGTCATTCAGAAGCCCGGAGAATCCCTTCGAGATTACATCCGGCGATTTTCTGAACAACGTAACAAGATCTCCGACATCACTGACGACGTCATCATCGCCGCGTTCACCAAAGGGATTCGCCACGAAGAACTAGTCGGCAAGTTTGGGCGTAAGCCTCCCAGGACAGTCAAGCTCATGTTTGAAAAAGCCAACGAGTACGCCAAAGCCGAAGACGCCGTCACCGCATCGAAGCAGTCGGGTCCCAGTTGGAAGCCGAAAAATACGCCGGCTACGGGAGGAGGTGGAAGTAACAATCATAAGGACCGCAAGCGTAAGCCTGAGGAACTTGTTGCAACCGCCGCTCACTCTTCTCGACAGCGTTCGCGCGTCAACACCTTCGACAAGATCATGAATTCCCAATGCCCGCATCATCCAAACTCCAACCACGTGGCCAAAGAGTGCTTCATCTACAAGCAGTTCGCGGAGCAGTACACCAAGACTGCACGGAAGAACTCTGACGAAGAACAAAGCACGTCGAGGAAGAAGAACGACGGCGACACCCCGGCAGGTTTTCAAGATCACCGTAAGGAGCTCAACCATATCTTCGGCGGCCCCCTGGCTTATGAGTCTAAACGGAAGCAGAAGTTGACTGAACGGGAGATCAATGCTGTTCAGCCCGACACACCCCAGTATCTTCGATGGTCAGAGATTGCAATCAAGTTCGACCGCTCGGATCATCCTGACCGAGTGGTCCACCCGGGGCGGTACCCCCTGGTACTAGACCCAGTGGTCCGTAATGTCAAGCTTCGCAGAACCCTCATTGATGGTGGCAGTGCACTCAATATCCTCTTCGCCAAGACTTTGGATGATATGCAGATCCCTCGCTCCGAGTTAAAACCAAGCAATGCGCCTTTTCATGGAGTAATTCCAGGATTATCCGCAACTCCACTCGGCCAGATCACTCTCCCGGTCACTTTTGGCACTCGGGAAAACTTCCGCACAGAGAATATCAGCTTTGAAGTTGCCGATTTCGAGACAGCATACCATGCCATACTCGGACGCCCGGCGTTAGCCAAGTTCATGGCCGTCCCGCACTACACATACATGATGATGAAGATGCCTGGTCCCCGAGGAGTCCTAACCCTACGGAGCGACATCAAGCAAGCTGTCACATGCGACAAGGAGAGTTGCGACATGGCCCAAACCCGCGAGATGGCGTCTGCCCGAGAGGAAATCCGACTGGCTGCAACCACGGTGAGCGAAGGAGAAGTGCCCGCTGCCAAAATTTCAAAAAGTGGGGAAACCGAAGCCGAGACTAAAAAGATTCCCTTAGATCCTTCTGATCCTACCAAAACTGCTGTAATAGGCGCCGAGTTAGATTGTAAATAGGAAAGCGCGCTCATCACCTTTCTTCAAAATAATAAAGATATCTTTGCGTGGAAACCTTCGGATATGCCCGGTATTCCCAGAGAGGTGATTGAGCACTCCTTACATGTCAAAGAAGACGCCAAGCCTATTAAACAACGACTCCGCCGATTTGCACAAGACAGGAAGGACGCGATCAAGGAGGAATTGACCAAGCTGTTAGCAGCAGGCTTCATCAAAGAAGTCCTTCATCCCGACTGGCTGGCTAACCCAGTCCTGGTTCAGAAAAAGACGGGGCAATGGCGCATGTGTGTCGATTACACTGACCTTAACAAATCTTGCCCAAAAGATCCTTTCGGGTTGCCTCGCATTGACCAGGTAGTTGACTCAACCGCCGGCTGCGAGCTTCTCAGTTTTCTGGATTGCTACTCGGGGTATCATCAGATCCGACTGAAGGAATCCGACTGCTTGAAGACTTCATTCATCACGCCTTTTGGGGCATACTGCTACGTCACCATGCCGTTTGGATTAAAAAACGCAGGAGCAACCTATCAACGCATGATCCAGAGATGCTTTTCAACACAGATCGGCCGCAACGTTGAAGCCTATGTGGATGACGTAGTCGTCAAGACCAAGCAAAAGGATGATCTGATCTTGGATCTAGAAGAGACCTTCGCGAGCATCCGCGCCTTCAGGATGAAATTAAACCCTGAAAAGTGCACCTTCGGAGTACCGTCAGGGAAGCTGCTTGGTTTTATGGTGTCTCATAGGGGCATCCAAGCCAACCCGGAGAAAGTTACTGCTATCCTCAACATGAAACCGCCAAGCACCCAGAAAGATGTTCAGAAGCTGACTGGATGCATGGCGGCGCTCAGCCGATTCGTTTCAAGACTTGGCGAGCGGGGGATGCCCTTCTTCAAGCTACTGAAGAAAACAAATAATTTCCAATGGGGACCCGAAGCACAGAAGGCCTTCGAAGATTTCAAACAACTCCTCACCAAGCCACCGGTCTTAGCTTCACCACATCCGCAGGAGCCGTTGTTGCTGTATGTATCAGCCACCTCCCAGGTCGTGAGCACAGTCTTGGTTGTCGAGCGTGAGGAAGAAGGCCATGTCCAGAAAGTTCAGCGACCAATCTACTTCGTCAGCGAGGTCCTGGCCGACTCCAAAACGAGGTACCCTCAGGTTCAGAAGCTGTTATATGGTATTTTAATTACTACCAGGAAGCTGTCTCATTACTTTCAAGGTCACTCGGTAACGGTGGTCACATCATTCCCACTCGGCGATGTACTGCACAACCGCGAAGCAAATGGGCGGATTGCTAAGTGGGCTTTGGAGTTGATGTCTTTGGACATATCATTCAAGCCCCGCACTTCAATCAAGTCTCAAGCGTTGGCTGATTTTGTCGCCGAGTGGACCGAGTGCCAAGAGGATACCCCCGTGGAGAAAATAGAGCACTGGACCATGCATTTTGACGGGTCAAAAAGACTTTCGGGCACTGGAGCTGGAGTGGTTTTAATTTCCCCGACTGGAGAAAGACTAAGTTATGTGCTTTGGATACATTTTTCGGCGTCTCACAACGTCGCCGAGTATGAGGCGCTCCTTCATGGGCTACGGATTGCAATTTCCCTAGGGATAAAGCGTCTAATTGTTCGAGGTGATTCACAGCTGGTTGTCAACCAAGTTATGAAAGAGTGGTCCTGCATTGACGACAACATGATGGCATATCGACAAGAGGTACGCAAACTGGAGGATAAGTTCGATGGACTTGAGCTCAGCCATGTTCTTCGACACAACAATGAAGCTGCCGATAGACTTGCGAACTTTGGATCCAAGCGCGAGGCAGCGCCCTCTGATGTTTTTGTCGAACACCTTTATACGCCGACGGTACCTCACAAAGATGCCACTCAAGTTGCGGGCACCCATGATGTCGCTATGGTTGAAGCCGACTGGCGAGAGCCCTTCATACGATTTTTAACTTCTCACGAGCTCCCTCAAGATAAAGATGAAGCCGAGCGGATTTCAAGGCGGAGCAAACTTTATGTTATGCACGAATCTGAGTTATACAAGAAAAGCCCTTCAGGAATTCTGCAACGCTGCGTATCTTTAGAGGAAGGGAGACAATTGCTGAAGGACATACATTCTGGGATATGCGGAAACCATGCTGCAGCGCGCACCATTGTTGGCAAAGCTTACCGGCAGGGTTTTTTCTGGCCTACTGCAGTGTCCGACGCCGACAAAATTGTGCGCACATGTGAAGGTTGCCAATTTTTTGCCAGACAAATTCATCTACCAGCTCAAGAGTTGCAGACTATCCCGCTGTCTTGGCCGTTTGCGGTTTGGGGGCTCGACATGGTTGGCCCATTTAAAAAGGCAGTCGGCGGTTACACGCACCTCTTCGTGGCCATTGACAAATTTTCCAAGTGGATCGAAGCTAAGCCTGTTGTCACGATTACAGCAGATAATGCTCGCGATTTCTTCATCAACATTGTGCACAGATTCGGAGTACCCAATCGGATCATCACCGATAATGGCACACAATTCACCGGCGGAGTTTTCAAAGACTTTTGTGAAGACTTTGGGATCAAGATTTGCTATGCCTCAGTAGCACACCCAATGAGCAATGGACAGGTGGAGAGGGCCAACGGCATGATACTTCAAGGGATTAAAGCTCGAGTTTTTGACCGGCTTAAACCCTACGCCGGCAAATGGGTGTCACAGTTACCATCAGTACTTTGGTCTTTGCGTACTACGCCCAGTCGGGCCACAGGCCAGTCACCTTTTTTCCTTGTCTACGGGGCAGAAGCAATGTTGCCGAGTGAAGTCGAGTTCGAATCTTTGCGCTTCCGTAATTTCCGTGAAGAACGCTATGAAGAAGACCGCGTGGACGACTTGCACCGACTGGAAGAGATCCGCAAAGCAGCTTTGATTCAGTCAGCTCGGTATTTACAAGGGTTGCGACGTTATCATAATCGCAATGTTCGATCTCGTGCCTTTCTAGTCGGCGACCTGGTTTTACGGAAAATTCAAACCACACGAGATCGGCACAAGTTATCTCCTCTATGGGAAGGGCCATTTATTATCTCTGAAGTTACCCGGCCAGGTTCATATCGACTCAAGCGCGAAGACGGCACTCTCGTCGACAACTCTTGGAACATTGAACATCTTCGTCGTTTCTACGCTTAACTGTATCATTGTATTCCCCTATTTTGACTGTCAAACATCAAGTTTTCTCCTTGAAGTTGTCAGTCGGGGGCTATCATCATAATAATGGAGTGTGATTTTTTATCAATTCAGTTTGCTTACTTGGTTTATCATTGCCTTGTTTGGTTTTTCTACTTAGTTTGCGAGGACTGAAAGTTTTTAATAGCTTCTTTGGGTTTTAGACTCAACAAAGCTTAGCAAAAACTTTTAAGAAATCAAAAACTTCGCAAGAATCATCAAGCACAGCATAAATACACCAGTATTGTACAAATTGAGCCTCCATGTATTACATTCAAACTAAGTCAGAATCAGTCCTTTCATCATCAGAGTCTTCATTACTCGGCTGGAGGTCGTTGTTGCGAAATTGTTCTACAACATCACTCGCAATTTTGTCAGCTGCATTTTGCGCACTGCTGATAAGATCAAGAGCAGCTTCTTCACTTGTCCCGTCTGCAAATCCATCAATGGTGTCGACTTCAATTCTCGGGTACAAGGATTTTGTCATCGCCAAGGCCATGCCAGCTCCCATACTTCCAGCTTTCTTGATATTCTTGAAATATACATCCGGAGCAACACTCAGCTTGTCGAATATTTCGGTTGCGTCGAGTGCACTCGGACCACTGTTATTGAGGAACATGGCTTGGATGAGTGGTGTAGCGACATTGGCGACTTCATCTCTTGCTCCTTCAAGCCTCTTGATCTTACCAACCAGGACGTCAAACTGAGCTTGAGACTTGATTTTACGGTCTACAGAACACATTTATAATAATCAGACTCTACTGCATTAAAAAGAGGAAAGTTCAGATCATCAGCCGGCAGTACCTTCAACTTCTTTCAAGGCTGAGTCCCTTTTTGCAGCCAGTTCTGCTTTGTCTTTTTTCAAGGCTTCAATCTGTTTTTCCATCTGAGCCATTCTGGTGGCTTGCGCTGTTTGAAATCCAAATATTTGAGGATGCAATTATGACAGTATAAATCAATGGAACAGATCTGAATGATTACCTTTTGATGAACCACTCAGCTCAAAGTTTGAATCCTGGAGCTGGGCGATTCGGTCCCTTAACTCTTTCTGTCTTTTTGGCGCACTCCTTGGCCTCATGCAGCTGGTTTCCACCCCCTTTTATTATTGCCGAAATCTAGTTTCGACAAAACTATTGCCAGATTCGCGATGCCGGAGTCTATTCTGCTACAGCAATTTAAACAATTCGACAAAATATTGGTTTGATACTTCTGCTGTAGCAGTTCAAAAACAATTCGGAGTCAAAGTACTGGTTTGTTATACGTAGCTCTCCATCAGACATGTCCAAACACTATTCTTTTCTTAGAGAGAGTACCGTTGGCTATTATTTACTCCCTCCGTCCCAAAATATAACAATTATTAGCCTGAAAGATTTGTCCCAAAATATAACAACTTCTCCATTAACATTTTCTTCCCAACCAATCACAACTCTCCACCATTCACTTTTTCTACTTACCTCCACTACTCATCCAATCACAACCCTCTACCATTTACTTCTACCAATTTTTTTAATAACCGTGTCCAACTTTAAAACTTCTTATATTCTGAGACGGATGGAGTAGTTAAACAACTTGTTGGCTATGTGTCCTTTTATGGCTGAGGCTGGCGGCGATGTAATACATTTTCATTATCTTAAAAAAAGTAAAGCAAAACTGCCAAAAGCGCTCTCCAAAAATATATCCTTGCTGGGTTGCCAAATGAATTTCAACAAACACCAAACCTGTACAAGTTTCCACCATTAGCACAATCTGCTCATATGGCATCATGGAATTCTCTTTCAAATATGAAGATGTGATGCACACACAAAAACACACAATATGACTTGTTCATGAGAAACCCACATTGCAGTTTTCGCAACTCCCCCATATTCTTGGTTCTTCCACGATTTCACTCATCGAACCGCAGTCTGAACTGGTGCCAAGTACCAAATGACTACCCATTTCACTGTTTCCAAACCTACAAAGGCTACAACACTGCAGAGCATTTTTCCCTTTCTTATACATTATCCATCCATCTTGAGTGAACTTAACCGTCTGATTCTTTGGTCAAGCTCAGCCATTACAACCGTCTCTTGCTTTTTCCTTTCCTTTGTGATTGTGTTTGTTGTCATCGAACCAATCTTATCAAAAGCGAACTAGAAAAACAAGGATAAAAAAGATCCATCAGCAACCAATGTTTGGTAGAGTGCTTCAAAACATCAACACATCTGGGTAAACCATACAGACATCTTTTACGGTTTTTATTCTCATTGTACTGAAATATCCCATTGACCCAAATTTTCATCTGTAAAACTATTGCGACTACGTAATATAAAGCCACTGACTACCTCACTGAGTTACCAGTACATGAACAAAAATAATATACGATATGATGGACCCAAAACTAGGAAGAAGATTTACCGTGAGGAGTTCATCAGGGTCGTATAGATGATGAGCAGTTGTCTGCAAAATATCAATTACATCACCAATATGTTGAATACGTAGTAGATCATCTTCTCTCATCTGCAAATATACCAAAAACAGAGTAAGCGAAAGAAACAGCAGGCACCCTCTTGCTCATAGAGGCAACTCTCAGAATGCATGCATCGATAAATTTCATGATACACACCTTGAAAATTGCCAGAGCAACATGGAACAATACTTTTGCTCCTTCATTGAATAGAACATCCCATACCCGGAGGGTTGTCTGCCACAACAGTGATAATAATAATGAAAATTATTTAAGATAAGTTTGAGTAAACCATACATTGACCTCTTAAATATTTATGCTATCTGGTATTTCTTCTAACCTCTGAAGGCAAGGTCTTGGAGAAGAGGCACAAGAACCATTCTGTGGCAACAAGAGAAACATCAAACCCCATTGCTTCAAGATGAGCAGCAATCCTGCATCATTTGGGTAATCCAATGATTCACAATCATCTTATAATGGTAATGCTTGTTATTGCCAGCGACTGATGAAAAATCATAGCATAAAAGCCATAAACATAACAGGGGGGAAATACCTGGGGCACTTTTTAGCTAGGAGGTCTTTGAAAACTCTCTGCTCGACATGGCATCCAGAAAGATTATCAGTATAGCAATCATTGACAAGTACATTTTCCAGTAGTACAGCAAGCATCCAGAATGCATCTTCCTCTGTCTTCATAACAAGCAACAACAATGCAGCTACATAATTTAAACCCTGCATTGCATGGTGTTAGTAATGGAGCTTCTCTATAAAACAGTTACATTTGAAAAGCATTGCTTTATGCCTACCTGGCAATATCCAACTTCTGAGTCACGAAATGAGTAACCAACAAGCACACGCCGAAGAGATGCCTGACCTTCCTCACTGTTCAGCCAAGAATGACATGGAAATGTGCGAGGGAGATCCTGTAAAATTCCCATAACTAATATTATTCTCTAAATTCCATAGTCCTAGTAAAATGATAATTATAGTAGAATCACACATTTGTTTTCACTAAAATAAAAATTATACTGATGAAGTTAACTGAAGAATGTAAAATGATGCTCATTACTAATTATACACTTAGCTAGAATGCGACAACTATACACTCTATTTGTTGCCTATGTCATACAGTTTTTTTAACAACTATAAATAAAAAAAATTTAACAGGCTTATTCATTAAATTAAACTTGAAATTCTGAGATGACCATATAATCTTTCACTTTAGATAAATATAGATAATATACTGACTTGTACAGGATAAATCCGTAATAGCTTCACAGTACTCACATGGTCGATTTGTAGCGTGGCTGGCGTGGTCTTCCCCTCAGTAGCCCGGATCAACTCATCATAGTACGTCTCAGGCACCGTTGACCGCTTCTTGGCAGCCCCCGACACTGACAGCCACACCTTCGGCCTCAGCACTGGTGGCACACCCTTCCTGATCAGCCTCCTTAGTGTAATCGTGTTGGTGAGCACCGACAGCTTGAGCGACGTGACGCTGATTACCCCCTCACTGCCACCATTGGAGGAGATCCTTGGTTGGAGATACCAGTTTGCGCCCTTGCTGGCCTCGAGCGCCCACCACACCCTCCCTTGCTCCCTCATCCTCTCCCTCACATCGTTCAGCACATTGACGTCGTCGACATTGCCCTCCACCATGAATCCGTAGAGGTCCTCGAATTTGGCCAACAGCTGGTGAGCATTGGCATGGCCCTTCCTGGGTGTGCTGTACCTGATGGTGTGGGTGGTAGTGGGCATGGATGCAGCTGGCGTGTTCCACAATGTCCTCCTCCTCCTAGGGTTGAAATCATCTTCCACCACACCCCTCACTTGGGTACCAAACATGTTCTTATCCACAAATCTACTTGCCAACAAATAATATTCACAAAAATCGATCTAAAAATCCCCAAATCTCTGCTGCTTCGAAGGTTTTCTTCCTTCTATCTTCCTAACCTTTCTTGGAAAAAAAAAAGAGCTTATGATGGATTACTCCTCCAAGGATATTGTAACCACTGATTTATTACTCTCTAATCCTTGACCCCTGGGACCATTTCAAGAAGAAGAAATTTATTGCACTTGGCATCAAACAAGGAACAAATTAGGTGCAAGAACTCATTGGATTGGAGAGGGAAAAACACCAACTCACCTTGGATTGCAAGAACCCGCACGGATCTTTCCTCGGGTGAGCTGATTCGTTGCACCAAGAATCAAGAAGACGACCGTATTTGGCCGGTGCTGCCGCCTCTGTGGGAAGATTGATCCCGGAAGCTGCAAGAACCCGAGGAGGAGGCGGAAGCAAAGCAAGCACCGGCAGCCTCAGATTGGGAGCACGAGCAGCGGCTAAAAATGGCAGGCCCTGCACGTCTTCTGCTCCTCTCTCCTCTCCTCTTTTGACCCTATTTTGGGAGGTCCAATGGCTCTGATCGAATCAAACCAAGATTGGGAGCAGCTCTTCCGTTCCTATCACCAAGATGATGAAATGCTCAGCGCCTGTGCCTCTCTCTCAGATTTTTTTTCGGGATTAGCTCTCTTCTTGATGAGCTTCTTGCCAATGGCAGCTTCTCCTACGGCTTTCGAGAAGAGGGAGCTTGGGATTTGGCTTTTATGGAGTATGGCTTCTTCTTGTGACCATGTCTGCTTGTCTTAATTATCCGCCTTTTTTTTGAAAAAAAAATAAAGTTTCTGTAAAGATGTGATTGTATTAAGTATGAATAGGTGGTCAATTTCATTTTTACAGGCTTCCCCTCCGAAAACTCCGAATTTAGATATCTTTACGTGATACCACACAATACAATGTACTCACTCTATAGTTTTCTACGGAAATTTAAAAAAGAGTGAAATTGAATGTGGGATTATTGTGTTGCTTTTAAGATGAGAAAATAAATAAAGAAATTAAATTGATTGGTGAGATAAAATAGTGGTTGTCGAAATTGTTATATCCTGAGATAAATTTTAAAAGTTAGAATTTGGTATAGTTTAGGACATATGCAGTAGGAAGGAGCCAAAAATTATTGTAGAGTACAATTTATATTTTTATTTGCATCAGTTTAAAAGTTAAGTTTGAATAATAAAAAATGAAGAAAAAGCATCTAGATTAATTTAATACTCCCTCCGTCTCTAAATATTTGACGCCGTTGTCTTTTTTAAACATGTTTGACCGTTCGTCATATTCAAAAAATTTAAGTAATTATTAATTATTTTTTATCATTTGATTCATTGTTAAATATATTTTTATGTATACATATAGTTTTATATATTTCACAAAAGTTTTTGAATAAGACGAACGGTCAAATATGTTTAAAAAAGTCAACGACGTCAAATATTTAAGGACGGAGGGAGTACTAAGTTTTAAAATTAAATTGTGCTACTGCTGATAAGCTAACAAGCAACCAATGACAACGTGGACCATATTTCTACACATGGACGCATTTTCATCCAATATATATTACCAAAGATTTATTTTATTAATTCCACAATTTTTCATCTCATATATTCTAGATAAGAGAATATCACTATTCAATTGCAATCTTTATTCCTTTTGAAAATTCATAACTTATATATACGTTCTTCGACAATGTTGTGGCAAATTAATAGACAAGAAGGACCATGTTGTAAAATATCATGTAGAGGCGAGCACAACTGCTAATATGCAAAAGTGATTTGACTAAATAATGAAAGGTAGGAGGTTAGAAAAGTTGAAAGCTGGATTGTGATGGAGGCTTATGATGCAAGTGAAGAAGATGACTGGCGATGGACATCGTGGGACATAGGAGTAGATAGTTTGCATTTCATTTTATTTTTAAATTCCTATATGGGGGCACGTTCACATTTCATTTTGCGTTTGGTGAGCAAAGAACTTACTATATTATTTTTTTGAGAGATTTAGTTGTCAAGGAAGGTTTCTTGGAACATGCTGGTGCGGTGTGATTGCTACATGTGAAGAACACCCCATCTTGAGTATGAATTAAGCTTCACAAATTTCAATCTAATCGTGCATACTTGTACGAAGTTTCAATTTCTGAACTTTAAAAAAAAAACTGCACAAAATTCGATGAAACAAAGTTGATTTCGATCTGATATTTATCTTGCATACTGCTAATATACATCACGAGAACCACTTGTTGGTTGGTATAGTTGCAGGAGTACGCCCCCGTCCTATATATTTTGATTTTTTTTTTTACGTTTTCGAATGATGGTTGTACATATCCCTTTCGGAAACTCATGTCCTATAGTTAGTACTAAATATTCTACCACGTGCTTAGGCTCAATACAAGTCAAACACATATATAACCGGTTTTAATTACCCCATTTCCAAAATAACTAGTACCTCCATCCCAAAATATAAGCAATTTTAGCTATAAATCTAGGTAACTGTGTATCCAGATTCATAGCCAAAAGTTATTACATTTTTAGACGGAGGTAGTACTATTCTAAAATTCATTGACAAATTAGTAGAAAAAAATGACCTATATATCACTTATTAAATGAGTGATTGAGAGTGAATAGGTGATTGGAGGTAGGATGAGAAAAAAAATTAAATCAATGATGATTACATGAAAACGTAATACTTTACAATTGCACTTATTTTGAACAAAATTTAAATTTTAGTTAACAAATGGAGTATTTAAAACTACACACTATACATGTGTTCAATAGGATTGTATGCACGATTGCGCTAGTTAAGTGAAGTAAAAAAGACAGAGTCCAACAATAATAGTTATGGGCTCTAGGGTTTAAATCTTAGTGGATGTAGTGCACTCATGATTCCAACGCCGCACCTTAATTTGTTGTGCATCTATTACATATGATTGAGACACAATATTTATTTCCTATTGAATAAAAGGGGGATTTTAACTATTTGCCACTATTAGATTCGACAATTATTTAAATGCCCCAGTTAGATTTGCACATATTTTTTTTTTGCCCCTCTTAAGAGATGCCTTCTTAACTATTTGCTACTTTTGCCCACGTGGCATACCAACGTGACAACGTAGGGTAGAAATCGGTGTGGGACCCACAAGTCAGCCTTTCCTCTCTCCTCCTTTCCCTCCGGTCCAGCGTGCGATGATGGCACGGTTGGGGAAAGGAGCAGTGGCGGCGGAGGAGATGTAGCGACGGCGGACGTCCTCGTGGTGTTGGAGGCGGCGGAGCGGCGGCGCCGGCGGAGGAGGATATGTAGCGGCGGCAGACGGGCTCCTCGCGGTGGTGGAGGAGGCGAAGCGGCGGCGCTGTCGAAGGAGGTGAAGCGGTGGCGCTGACAAAGGAGGCAGAGCGGCGGCGGGTCGGCTCCTCGCGGCGGTAGATTAGAGCAGCCGTGCACAAGGATGGAGGCCGGAGCAGCACCGTCTTGCGGCAGAGCATGCTCCTCGCCAGACCGGAGGAAAAGAATAAGGATATAGGAGAGGCTGATTAGTGGGTCCCACACCGATTTCTACCCTGAGTTGCCACGTTGGCATGCCACGTGGACAAAAGTGGCAAATAGTTAGAGCAAGTTTAAAAGTATAGCCAACTACTAGCTCCAAATCATCTATACCAATGTAATAGGCAATTCATACAATAGTTGCTTACTATGCTATTAATACCTGGTCCTACCTGTCATACACACATTACGTCTTGGAGTCCGTGCTGCAGCTGGCTACAGATATGTAGCCTGCTGCTCCTCTCTCTCTCTTCTTTTCTCTCTTTAAAATATGTTTATAGTTGACTTATAACCTGGCTATCGTAGCTTCTCTTAAGTCTTAAGAAGGCATCTTTTAAGAGGGGTAAAAAATTAAGTCCAAATCTAAAATGGGTATTTGAATAATTGTCGAATCTAATAGTGACAAATAGTTAAATTTCCTGAATAAAAGAGGATGTACACACCACATATACATATATCCCAGTGTGCCTCCTAGCGAATGCTTAATAGAAGAAATACACTGTTAAATCTGCAAAAATAATAATGTGCACCTGTACGTGAACAAAACCTGCAGATTTCCCCTACTCTACACAATTTCTATATGTTTTTTTTCTTATACAATTGCAAATGAGAGTGCTTTAGAATTAGATCCATGAAGGTCAAACGTTTCGGCGTTACTTACACACTTGTTAGTTCCTAAATATCTCAAACTGCAATTTGCGTAAAAATAGTACATAGGGACCATATCAATATGTAAGAAGACTTGTGCTGTTTGCAATTGTAGAATATTCTTTTACAGTATTTATGAACAATATATAATGGTGTATAACCATATCGAAGATAGCATGCATGTTCCCCAGATTTTGAGATTTAATAGAAATTCTGCAAAAATCCGTAGGCAGGACGGTTCATGGTCCTCCAGTATGGATCACAATCATTCATCTGTCCAGCCCAGGGACCTGGTCCAGATCAGTGCACCCGTTGCATCACTGGTTACATTATTTTTCCATTGGAGATCAAGTCCTTGGTGACTATTGGTGGCCAATTGGGGTTTTGGTCGGTCAAAGGAAAGCAAAAGATTAGCTCATCACTTATCTGTAAACAAAATGTTAAAGAAGCTTTCAAGTTATTAAACAATACATTGACACGTCTTTGGGTGGACCCAATAGTTCATAAAGACCCCTTCTAAAAAAAAATACTCCATCCGATTTTAAGTGCGCGGGATATAGTGGTTAAGCGTTCTCTCTATTTTAAGATTTAGTGTAAATATGCAAAATTATAAGTCGTGCTCAAAAATACCTTTAATGATAAAACAAATTACAACAAAATAAATGATACTTTTAATAATATGGAAAGTCAAAAACAAGCTAAGATAATCCATGGGCTCTTGATAATAACAACAATACAAGAGTTCTAGATAATACTTCAAATTGATGGAAGCCTACTGCTTCTTTTACATATATTGGTATATAGATATTTTACAATAATGGGACTGAGCCAACACCTCTATAGATGTATGAGGTCGTTTGTGGCATGGGTTACTTTGCCGAAGAGAGTTGATCGGAAAAAAAAGGGTCAAGAGTTTGCTTAACTAATAGTCATGTGGGGTAGCAACCCATAGGAAGTAGCCGACACTGCCCCATCAATGATGAAATGATGAAGGCATCAATAATAGTGTATAAGTTCTTAAACTTTTTGCAACACACAAATTGCTCTAAAGATGAATATGCACATACATAACACTTAATATTGGTTTGGGAGGGCTAAGAGAACACAAGTTGTACGCCAAATACTCAAAGTGTGAGTTTTGGTTGGATCGATCTGCTTTTGTAGGAAATGCCATTTCAGCCCACACTAGTACAGGTCCCTCTATTTGTGACGGCCTCTAACATGCCTGGAAATAGCAGGCCGTCACAAGGAAGTCATCTCAATCGGGCCGAAAAAGTGCCCGATTGAGATATGGTCGCACAGACATATTAGAAGGGCATAAAACTTAACCCCGTCACGGATGACACCTATCAGTGACGGGCCGTAGTTTAGGCCCGATAGAGATAACAATCCATATCTCAAACGGGCCTGAAGTTGGGACCCGTCACAGATGACCATCATCCGTGACGGGCACCAACTTTAGGCCCGATTGAGATAACATTCCATATCTCAAACGGGCCTTAAGTTGGGGCCCGTCACAGATGACCATCATTCGTGACGTGCACCAACTTGAGGCCCGTCACAGATGACTCATC